TCTCCCCAGTTTCGCTCGCATCAAGAGACCAAGATGGCGGCCCATCGAACTCAACGATGGACATCTACGATCTCACGGAAAATAGGGGACTGTGAACAGTCTAGCGTATTTCCGAGAAAACTATTCCGTCTTCAATCGCAATTTTTCGACTTACTGCGCATGCGCTGCATTTAACTGGGTTCTTATGCTAACAAAGAAAAAGATGAGAATTGCCGGGTTCTTTGCATTGTTACCTTTTCTAACGTACCTTTGTAATAAAAGTCACTAGAGCTATCAACACACTGTGTTCAATTATGAAGAAAAATAGTACAGATAGCGCGGGCATTGAGCAAATAAAATGACCCCTGTATTGAAGCCATGTAGAGGATTTGTAGTACTACACGGACCGCATTTACGCATTTACGCACAAACTGATTGTTACGTATGTGAAATATGTATAACTGAAATTTTAATGATTAGCTTTTGTTGTACATCGAAAAACGTGTCTTTTTATGCTTCATGTAAAGTGGCTGTTCTTAAAAACGGACTCGCAAGTTTCCTCGCAGGTACACGCCATTCGCAAAAGATCCATTTCAAGGCTTTGAAGCTTTTATTTCAGTGGCTAAAGCCCTGGTCAAACGGACTCGCAAGTAGTCGCAAGTAGCCACAAGTTGAACTTGCGTAGAGACTTAAGTTGGGTGGCTAAACGGACTCGCAAGTTTCCTCGCAAGTACACGCAGGTCGCAAAAAAGCCCATTTCAAGGCAGAAATATCCTGTATTTCATTGGCTAATAATAGGTTAATGGACGTCACTCAACTTGCGTTGACTTCGGTTGGGTGGCCAAACGGTGAAAAACTTTCGTCGACTTGCGTGCAAATTTGATCTCGACCAAAGTGAGCGCAAGTCTACGCAAGTGTACGCAAGCCCTGGCCAAACGGAGTCGCAAGTAGACGCAAGTTTTCAACTTGCGTCTACTTGCGACTACGTTTGGCCATGCCTTGCGTGCACTTGCGTTGACTTGCTCTCAATTTGGTCGAGATCAAATTTGCACGCAAGTCGACGAAAGTTTTTCACCGTTTGGCCATCCAACCGAAGTCAACGCAAGTTGAGTGACGTCCATTAACCTATTATTAGCCAATGAAATACAGGATATTTCTGCCTTCAAATGGGTTTTATTGCAACTTGCGGGTACATGCAAGGAAACTTGCGAGTCCGTTTAGCCACCCAACGCAAGTCTCTACGCAAGTTCAACTTATGGCTACTTGCGACTACTTGCGAGTCCGTTTGACCAGGGCTTTAAATTATTTGAATCTTGCTTCTGTCTTTTTAGCATTTTTATTCTATTCATTCGGTCATCATTTTGGTACCTGGTAAGATCATTTCGAATAACCTACAGTAGTTGAAGGTGGACCAGAGATGCTTTAGGCCCCTTATCGCTGAAAACAAAGGAGAATAATTTGTTTAAACTATCGGTTTTTAGAAAACACCAGAAAACACGCACTTACATGTATCTCGATAGAAAAGCACAACTAACACGAATTGTTGACGTAATAGTGGCGTTAGGACGGAGAATTTAAACGAGTGATTTTCCTTTTTTCGTCGCGGTCTTTTCTGAAAGAATTGAGAAACATTTTTCCTGTGTTTGTATCGAGTCGTAGACACACTCGTTAAAGTATGGGGAGACTCATAAAAACTGTGGAAATACTTGCTTATCGGCTCGTGTTCATATTCCCACAGCATTTTTCGTTCTCTCAAAATTCACTCGGGTTTCTCAAAAGCTCGATAGAAACATGGACATTTTTCTATATCTTGATAGCAGCACTGTATTGCGTTTATTTGACCCGGAGCTTATTTGACTCCAGCAGTTTGTTCTAGATCGGTTTTATAAGTAAGTGTATTTATTCATTTTTTTTTTTTTTATTGCCATGCTTCCATTATCGCAAGGCTTACTCGCCTCAAGGAAATATGGAGAGGCTTATTTACAACTCCACCTTGGAGATCGAAGAAATACTCTATTAGCTGGTATGAAATTGAAGTTACTTCCTGCAAAGGTCGAAGCAAAAAATTCTCTCTCTCGCCAGACTGCAACAGCGTTCAGAACTTTTTTTTGCCAGTATCAAAGAAGACAGTTTGAAGATAGTTTTGGCACTATAATTAGCGTACCCAAATTGACAAATGGCCAATCAAAAACCTTGTCTACTTTCGTGATATCCTACGATATCAAGTCACGGGCCTGTTATGGCCGGATTTATCAGTTTTTGTTACGCTTCGGCAGCATATCAGACTCGTCTGGTCTCGCCATGGGTGTTATTACAGTTGAGCCTGCGGTCAAATATTCTTTTGTCTAAAAAGGCATACAAACGAGGCGAACGGGTCAATACAAAGCAAAATTGGCCCTTTCGCCTCGTTTGCACGTCGAAGTAAGTATAGTGTAAGTACTTATGTAAGTATAATATATAGTGTTGTAAGCAGGGTAAGCGACAAAAAAATTAATTTTCCTTTTTTTTAATTTTTTTTAAATTTTTTTTAGTATGGGTTTGAACAATTAATGTAGAAACAATAAAAAAAAACATTGTAAGTAAACGCGCTATATATTAATTAGTGTTATTGTATTGTAATAAATGTATTGGAAGTAGTGTCAGTTTTTTTTTTTTTTTTTTTTTTAAGTATAGCGTAAGTATATTTGTAAGTATAAACAGAGGTGCTGTAAGTAGAGTGAGTGTAAATCCCGTAAATAAAATTGAATTGCAAAAAAAAAAAAAAAAANGTCAAACTGCTGATAACTGTAGTAATAACAGCTATGTCTCGTCCATTTACGAACCATGACTCGACCAAACCCGCTTGCGAGTGATATGCTGCCGAAGCGTACCAAAATGGCACGATTAGATGTAAGTATTAAACTCGAAAACACAAATGGACATCCAGTCATTTTAATTTTCTACCGAACTCTCTTTATGTACTGTTATCACTATAAAGTAAAGTTAGAATATTACTATTATTACTATTATTTTGCTTTTGTTTTTGTCCTAACGTCTTCGCACTCAAGCTGATAAATAGGCTCAATTCTGGCCTCACACCTTTCCTTGTTCCCTCTCCCCTCCCCCCTTCGCAAGCATGCAAATATATTGACGGCTCTTACCTTTGTAAATCTGTATAGATAAAGACTTATTTCAAACAAGAGAAATGTTCCTTAAAATCCTTTAAGAACGAAATGAGCGAAAATGTTCTTTTCGTGTCTTTGAAATATTATCCAGTCTCTCGCCTGTGAAATGGCTAATCGATTATTAATATCAATTTGTTTCAAGTGGTTTGTTATTAAAACTATTGGCACAGGTCTTGAATTAAAACTTATTAGGAAATTTCTGTTACCTGTACTATATTTGAGCCATTTGCTTTTTTGAAGATTTTCATATCAAAATTTAAAGACTTAATATCAAATTTCAAAGACTGAAATTCAAGTTCACTTCTTCGAAATTTCTTATCTTATCTTTTTTTACATTTAACTTTCGTGGTCTTGTTGGTATACAGTGTTGCTTTTGTGATAGTTATCATCAAAAAAATATCAATTGATTCAACTGCAAGAACGTTTTCCCCTGCAGTCAAACAAGGGCAGTAGTGAAAAAATATTTAATGACAGTTTTACTGCAAAACAATACGTTTTCTCTTGTATCTCTTATCTATTGTCTATTCGCGTGGCATCTTTTGCAATTATTTTACTGTGTAAAATAATTGCAAAAGTTTGTGTTATTGCATCGTGGTGACGCGCCGCGGAGCGCCATTTAAAAACACCTTTGGACAGAACTCAAAGATTCGGGCGGAAACGAAAATATTTTGGACTTTCTTTTCTTCCACTACGAAAGTCAAAATCACTTTTTTTAATGTTTGCTATATGGCTCAATTTTTGAAACGTTGCGTGGCGATTCTTAACCGTAACCTAAAGCTGAGAAAATTGTAGAGGTTTGCCAAGTCTGTTTCTCACGCCAGATATCAATTATTTATTTCAAAACTCATGCATCTGATAACAATATTGCATATCGATCGTGAAATGTAATCGAGTATCTTCGTTTGGTGTCAAAAGCAAGAATCTAGTGCCGGAGAAAATATTGATTTCAGATATAGAATATTGCAACTGGGCATGACAGCAAGGTATGTTTAACTTGAAGTTGCATCGCTCGATCCACAATTCAGTTCAATTCTTTAGTGTTTTTCGATCTAAAGCAAACCTTTATTTTGGTGTTAGGTAACTTCTTCACTAAGAAAACGAGATTCAGCATCTCGTTTCATGGAAGAGTCCAAACTGAATTAGTCTACAAAACGACTTGAACCTCCAGGTAAAACACGTTTTTAGTTGAAGTATTCATCACCGTTGGATTAAACTTACTGAGTATATAATATTTTTCCAGCATTGAGAAATGGTTTTGTGCACAACTAAGTGTTTCGCCGGCGAAATAGCACTCCATGATCAGAGAGAGGTTACTGTACGTAGTTGCTCAACAAAATTGTTCGAGTTTTTTTATTTTCCTGACCGTTTTATGTTTCGTGTACTGCAGATTCACAAGCGAGACTTAAATTCCACTAAATTTAAATTCTATTTGAGACTGTACCATAGAAATACGTTACACACGCATGTAACTAAATCCGGCCAGTGGCTTTCAAATCAGTCCGAGCTACTGTCTGATTATAAAATCGAATTACAATTATGATAAAATAAGAGGAAAAAAATCTAAGTGAAAGAGTGAAAAAAAAAAAAAACGTTGCCAGAAATGAAAAGTCGAGCAAGCAAAGCGGTAACTCTATTAGTTATTGATTTATCGCCAGGAACGTATTTGGTGTTTCTTTCAAACGGCAGAATCACTGGAATCATCGGTATTTTGTTAATTGCCAGCGGCATTTCAGGCGAAGCACCAGCTTAGAGATTTTTTAATCTTTCAATTGTCATGCATATTAATGGCAGGTGGGAAATTTAGCTGGGTTTTCAATTGGCGCGCTGTATATAGATGGAACATGTATAAATAAACCTCATTTGATGTTGTACACTTATATTCATTACAGTGCTTGGAAGAGCACGAGTTGATGAACATTCATGGTGTGAATGAGACACAGGGCATAAACGAGGACGATTTCGTGCGGATCTGTCCATCTTTAATCCGTCAGCTTCAGAAGGGCTCTTGCGTTGAAGAAAAACCTGGAAGCAGTAAAGTGGGTGAAGATTCCAGCAAAATGTTACATAGTAAGTTGTTTGTGTATGGCGCATGTTATGTTTACAGCAACCCGAAACTTTCTGAGAACTTGGAGTGCAACGCTTTTGGAAGAACATTTACAGAGAAGAAAACAGTTCGAAATACAGTTAAACATACAAAATAGCGAAAAAACGGCGCTTGACTCCATTCAAGTAGGAAATAACTACTTGTAATGTTGAATTTAAAGTATATGGAATGATGGCAGTCAGCCAGTGTGTCGGTCAAACGTTCTAAGCTGTGTGGTGGTGTGCGTTTAATTACTTTCTTGCGAATCGAATGTGACTGCATATTCAGTTTAGGTTTTCTTTCACGAATGAAAAGCATCTCGTGAGTTAAATAATCCAGCTTTTCTTGGCTTTTGTTCAAAATTTGAAACTTATTTGTCAGCCCAGGAGAATCGACCGTGCTATTTGCTCTAAGCACCTGTCAAACGTCGGTCTACAGATCGCTCTCTCGCAAGGAAGCACGAAAGTCCAGCAATATAGTTCCCTGCACTTCAAGCAACTGTATGCTATCAGTTGCAGCTATTTATCTCGACATTAAAATTAAGTCATTTTTTGCGATGGATTAAATTACTTTCGAAACAGAGGACGTTGTTAAAATAACAACGTATATTACATGGCTTACTAGTCAATACTGATGAAAGGAGCATTCTGATTGGTTGCGTGCTAGGCCCAAATTTGGAATGCAGACTGCTGACAGTAGTACGCAATTAAAATTTCGCTTAAAACGCAAACAGATGTTTAACTTTTATGCAAGTGTTCACCGAGAATGGATCGCGGCTCGGTCGTACTAATTGATCAGCGGAGTTTCACGTGCACGTTTAACCTCGCCCGTTCCCTAACGCTATATAGTTTAACAACATCCATATCAAGGTAGAAAAACACCAAAGATAATTGTGACTTCATACAACAAAATTCTATTTATTCGCAAATTTACCTTTAATGCCCCATAAAAAACGCAAAATTTAAAAATTCTTTAAAGTTAATATCAGCAAACTCGTCATAATTACTTACCTAGGTTTCAAGTTCCGTCATTCAGTCTCGGCTTTCTCACTGTTTGTTATAAAAAGAAAGAGAAATTTGTTTTTGTTGAATTTTGTGTTTTTGATTTGTAGTCTGGGGTTATGGTATCCTGTCAATCACTGTCATTAGTCTGACGTCACTCCTAGCCATAGCAATCATTCCTCTGATGGGTCACTCGATATACAAGAAGATCATGTCATTTCTGGTAGCGTTAGCTGTCGGCACCTTGGCCGGAGACGCCTTGCTTCATCTTATTCCACATGTGAGTGCAGACGCTCTTGACATTATCCAAAACAAAGGAAGAAAAAAGGGGAAGACAGACAGATAGATAGACAGTCAGTCAGACAGACTGACGGACGGACAGACAGAGAGTGAAAAGGTTAGGCGGATAGATAGAGAAACTGACTGACTAGATCCGACTGATTTATTCAGTCTGACTGAGTGACTGACGGACTGACCGACCTGACCCGACTCGATTGACTCAGTCTGTCTGACTGGCTGACGGGTTCGGTCTGACTGATGATCTCACTGATTGACTGACTGACTAACTGACTGACTGACTGACCAACCGGCCGACTCGACCCGACTGATTGACTCAGGCTGTCTGACTGATTGACTGGCTTACTGGTTTAGTCTAACTGATGGTCGTAATGATTGACTGACTAAAGGACTTACCGTCTGATGGAAAAAAGATTGGAATTTTCTCAGGTAGTAAATAATGATAAGAAAAAGAATACGAAACATTTCTCAGATATATTTACACATCCAAGCTCCTTTGTTTTTTGTTTGAATTTTCAGGCTTTTAGTTCCGGTCACAGCGATGGCGAAGGGCATAAAATGAACATCTACAAGTCATGTGTCATCATGGCCGGAATCTACGTGTTTTTCATGGTAGAGTGCACAATGAAGGCGCGCATGGCAGGAAGGAAACGCTCACAAGAAGACTTGCACATGTGCGACGAAGTTACATCTCCTGATAAAATGGTAAACAGTTGATGATGATTACGTAAGCACTGACCGGCAAAGAAAGCTGTCCTCGTATAGCCCTCGTTATGGCCAATCTGACTGATAAAAATCTGATTGGCTAAAACAAATATGTTCCAATCCAGTTTGGGGTCTGTGTTCGTGTAAAACTGTTATAACACGTAATACTTATGAAACAAAATGGATTTCGTTAGAAAGTGAAGCATTTTTTTTAGTGATAAGCATAAACGATTCCTTTTCCATCACCCGCTTACCTGAACATTACCTTTAGACGAATCTTCCCAGTTCGATATACCCGAAATTTTTCTATTCTCCGTTTGAGCTACGATTGACATCAGGTTCCTCTTGTTTATATTGCAATACAGAGTCTCAGAGAAAAAAATAAATGGGCTGCAAAATATCAAGAAATGATTGGCTCACGGCTTGCTGGAATTCAGCGATATATCAGCTACGACGGTGCACACTTCCCCAAGGTCAACGGTCACTTCTCTAAAGGCTGTAAGCCTACGTCATGTGAACTCGTCCTGGTGGAGTCTGGGAAAGAGGAGCGCGCCAGCACCAGGTCCGAGAGCTCTCAAGAAAAAGAGCCCTTGTGGGAACCTAGTTGCCATGGTGACCATTGCTATCAACGAGATTGTTTGGGCGAACGTAGCAAGCACAGTTTCAGCGACACGGAACTTGTGGCTGTTCTACAGGGCAAGTCTTGCATCCACCCCAACATCTACACCAACAACACCTTTTCTGTCAGTGGCAGTGACAGCGATAACCAAACACACCAGAACGTCAATCAAATTCGCCGTCACGGCGGTGACGTCCAGTACTCATACCCAGTCCCCAATGAGACGACAACCATCACCACGGAGACAACATTAACAAGCGACAACTTGGATGGCAGCCGCAAGGACGAACATGACCACAACCAGCACCATCGCCACCACCATCACCACCACAGCCATAAGATTGACAAGGCCACGTCCATTGCCACTGTAGCATGGATGGTGATTGTGGGTGATGGTTTTCATAACTTCAGTGACGGTCTGGTAGTGGGGACGGCGTTTTCGGCCTCACTGACCAGCGGTCTCACTACAGCTATAGCGGTGTTCTGTCACGAACTGCCACATGAATTAGGTAATTATGCCTTGTGCCATTTTTTTTGGTGCGTTGTAAAATAATATGGGAAAGCAACTCTTTTGTGTCTTCTCAATTTGTTTTCGTTTCATCTACAATATCATTGCATTCTCATGCACTGAGACAGATATCTAGAAGAAAGGGAAACATCACCTTAGTGATATTATTGAAGTATTCAGCGAGAATAGGTGATCCGAAAAGGGTTTAAAAATGGAATTCAGACTCCGGGGAAGTGCTGCATTTTTCTAAGACCAGAGCGTTTTGATTATTATCTGATCTGTGTGGAAGAAGACACTCTAGAGATGCCCACATGGATGCAGTAACATGCTTGACCTCAGGGCACACAAAATAAGCACGTTTAGCAGGTTTCGCTGGAAAATACGAAGAGTAAAGACAACAAACTTGCCTAAAATTTCCCTCTTTCTTGGCCTCGATATTTCGCCGCGGTCATTCAAGATGTCACCGAAATGTTATTTGACTGTGAAGGCCTGAGAGAAAGACGTACATGAACTAGAAAAAGTTGAATAGAGAACGTAAGGTGGTTAGCAAGCTAATTCGTTTATAGTATATTGAATTGGTTCATCGCTTTTTTCTTTTACTTTCAGGTGATTTTGCTATTTTGCTGAAGTCAGGCCTGACCTTCAGACAGGCCCTCGCCTATAACCTTGCGTCGGCCATTATTTCCTACCTTGGCCTTGTGTTAGGCATCATTATCGGTGACATACAGTCGGCTCATACCTGGGTCTTGGCACTCACCGCTGGCATGTTCCTCTATATATCCCTGGTTGACATGGTAAGTCACTTACTTGGCACAGTTAACGGTTT